CCCCAAAACCCCAAAACCCCAAAACCCCAAAACCCCAAAACCCCAATCCCATGAATCAACATTGAAGAAGGACTTGATTAAAATAAATTATATTGCACCTAGATTAGATTTTTCCAACTCCTTACAAAGATGAAGAAACACTGAAGAGACTAGTTCATCATTTGTACTTCTCCTGAGACTATCTCACGACTTTCTGGCATAATTGAGTCAATATCTTGGATTCAAAGAAGAGAAGCTTTAATTTCTTCCTCAGAATCGATATGCTTGAGAGCCTTCTCTTTCTTATAAAGTTCTTCTTTGATGTCATTGATCATCTCCTCGAGGCCTTGTCTTCTCCATTTCTCAACATTATTGATCTGATTCTCTTTATCATTTTCTTCATCGCTATCAGGTGGCAAAGATTTCTCCTTCTCCTTGAACTGAAATTTTTCTTCATTTTCAAAATCATTTATTTCTGGAGCTATGATGGAACTTATCTCATGAGATTCTTGCTGGTTTCCAATGGTGCCTATCCCTATAAAGAAGTTAGAAAACGCTGCTTAGTAACATTCGTTTCAAGAAAATAAGAATCTGAGCTATTAAAGGGAATTTTTCATAAAAAATCGAAAACAAGTCTGACTCAGATATGTTTGATATTCAACAGGAAAGAGTACAAACCTTTCTGAGTGTTCATTAGTATTGTTGGAGCATACTTTCTTATGACTGCCCAACATTCGCCTTCATCTAGTTCACTATCAATGCTCATTCCAAGGATTTGTTGAAACCAAGGCTCATCAATGTTGAATCCGTATAGCCTAGATTTTTCACAGATAATCTTCTTCTTGTCTTTGTTTCGGTGAGATATGAAGGAGGTTAAGAAGTTATCATTGCCAGCCCCTATCTTCTTAGAATTGTGTATCTTACACATCTTAGGAGGCATTCTAACATTACTTTTTCTCTTCTTAGACATAGCAGATTTTGAAGACATAGTTGAAGCATTTTCAGATCAGACACTCTTCACTGACTTTTTACAATCTGCTATCTTCTCCTGAGATACTTCCTTGATTACCTTAGCTGCCTTAGACTCTTTAGCTCCGATAAAAGAACTTTTCTGGTTCAAAAGGAAGCTTTTTCTATTCTCTCTTCCTAATTTCGGAGCTACAGGGACTGTTAATTTCTTGTTGCTCTTATTTTACATAGAATCCAACCTTCTTCTTGAAAGGTTTTGCCTTCACCTCTATCTCTTCTTTCTTCAATTGAGCGATAGCACTGTTCTTCATTGAGCCTAACACTAGCCTCTTTTTCAGTATTGGAGTCTTAACTTCAGATTTTTCAGTGACTTTTGAAGCTATGTTTTCTTCATTTCCTATTGATTCCTTCTTGATTTTGGAGTTGGGTGGGACAACAGGGGTCTTTCTTAAAGATTTCACTTCTGGAATAGTAGTCTTCTTTCTAGCAATCAGAGATCTGATTTTGGAGCTAGGTTCAACTACTCTGTTATTGGCAGACATTTATATAACTAAATTAACAATTTATTAAATTCCAACAGCTATGTTTTCAATAAGTCTTGCATCACATGGGGTTTTGGGGTTTTGGGGTTTTGGGGG